AAATCCTGTGGGGAATCATGGTTCGACGAATCTACATGAACAGTGGCAGTACAACAGCGTGCGAGACTTGAAGGAGGCAATAGTTGCTGCATGGGAGGAAATCGACGAAGACACCATGACAAATCTTGTCCACAGCATGCCAGACAGAATGTTCGAAGTAATAGTGAACACTGGAGGAAGAACCAACTTCTATTTTCCACGATACATTTGTTTTTTGTTAAGTGTCCACATACTTTTGTTATTAAGAAACTTTTTCAAAACAATAAATAATTGTTCAGTAGTCCACAAAGTGTTTAGAAGTAGTGTATTCCTATGTTTTCGCTTATGAGGAATTCAACAATAAAGGTCTCATATCGCAAAATTCAAAGGCAATTTTGCAGGACAAAAATTTGAGGTGTCCACATACTTTTGTTACGCACTGTATAGTCTGTTGCTTCGAACATGGCAAGTAGCGCTTTGCAACGCAAAGGCTGACAGTCTTACAGACAGATTAGCACAATGGAAGTTAGAGAGAGAGGGTGAAAATCGTCCCAATAAGTGAGCGCTTTTCAGGCTCTCAAACAATCTAACCTGATGCCCGTAACAAAGAAGGTAATGAGCAGAATAGTCAGTTTACCTACTGTACGATGTAGTAGTAGCGACTCTTATTTGTGTATCGTATCGTATGTGCTTCTATATGTTCCACTGATATTGAAGTTCGCTCATCATAAAATGAGTTTTTTGAGGCATGCTATGTTGGTGGACAATAAATCTGATCTGACTCATATACCTCTCAACTTCATCAGTGATGATCAAAAGGGATATCTTGAGGTGAGCTATTCCTTGCTCCACTCCAATCCTTGAAGAGAAGTTTGTCCCTAGGGGATAATTTTCAAGAAAGAAAAGACCCCTCTGAAGAAATCCTCAAGAATAAGCTGGTCGGTTTATCTCTCCTTCCTCAAATAAAGTTGACTGTATGCACCAATCATACCTCACTGATAAAGGGTCCAAATTATTTGCGGCTTTTCTCATGATCGACAGCTCGCGTTGAGATTATGTTGGGTGCATCGGGTGCCTTACGGAGGAAACAAAGCTTCACGTGCAGGTTTCTCGACCCATGTCACGCGTGGAAGGGGTCATGCCAGTCGCGTGGTCGATCCATGTACTTTGAAGACCAATGCTATTGAGTACAGGGTGTGGGTCAATTGGGATGAGGTGATTCAGTCATTATGGGTTCAGTGTCCACGGCATTTGTTACGGGTTTTCTTGTTTTCTCCCCACTGAAAGTAACTAATATCAGTCACTGACTCTATATTCGCCGGGCAACTGTGGTGGCTTTTATCACCGTTGTGCGGTGAAGATGGAGCTACAGTCGCGGAAAAAAAAACTTGGAACGAGCCAAATTCGCGCACTTTTGATAGTTTTACATACAACTTTTAAGCTGCACATGAAAACTTTGTTTGCTGAAATCAAGTACGCCTCAAAATGCTATTCTATTCCAACAGTGAAGTCAGTTGATTAAATCCGTTACAGGGGCAAAATTTAAAAGATTATTGCGCATGTGCATGCCCGGCCTGCGCATCTTATAATTAGACCGAGTTTCGAAATGTTCTAAATGCTTTGAGTACTAACATAGGTTTTCTCCGAGAGTTGTAATAAATCATCCTAGGGCAAAAATGGAAAAATGGAGCGAACACTAGACAGTTGTGAGTGTCTTCCGACTGGAATTTGCAAGACGCAGTTACAACTTTAAAAACCGGTCGCAAATCTGAGTGGCAGCGGACAAGCCACAATCGCGATAATATTTAGAATTCTGTCCCTTTAACGAATCTGATCAGCAAACTTTATTTTTTGGTATTGCATTTTAAGGCGTACTTGATTCGAGCAAACAAAGTTTTTATGCGGAATTTTGTATGTAAAATTATTGAAAAGCGCGCGACTTGGGCTTGTTCCAAGTTTTTTTCCGCTGCTGTATCTTTCGCTAGTCAGAAGATTAGACGGCTTCTCTTGAATTACATTTGCGAAGACTCTTCCCAAGGAAGGGATTTTTGAGTTCCATAGTGGACCTCTGTTACAGTCATACTGAGAAGTTCAGATAGCGAATAATATTCTGTCCGAAGAAGCTGTCCTTGGTTATGAGTTCGGCTTCTCCCTGGACCATCCACGACGGTTATGCGTATGGGAAGCTCAGTTTGGAGATTTCTTCAACGGTGCTCAGATCATTATCGATACCTTTTTGGCCAGTGCGGAAAGTAAGTTTCTGTTACATGTTGGTAGTGCCGCTTAAAAAAAGTGGTTGGGAAGTGAATGTGAGAGTAGGGCAGTCATTCTGCTATTCCACGTGTTTTGGGCTGTATTATGGAGCACAGTCATCTGCACTTGCGTATACCATGCTGGGTTCAGCATCGTTGGAAAAATCCCATCAGTGGGTCATACATGGTCGCTGGGGAGTGGATGTGGTATCTACCTTTGACAAAATTTTTTCGGGCCGTGAGAAAATTTTCTGCAACTGTTGACTCCTTAATTTTACCCGTTTCATTTGCGCTACATCCCACCCTAGTCGCTTGCGCCACAGAACTATTATCAATTTTTGAAGATGTTTCATCACTATAGCTGGATTTAAACACCACAGGTAGTGCTTCCAAAGTTATCGCCAGGATACTGTATTAGGTGCCTGGAAGCCTTGACTCCGGGCGGGACTTTGAGCCATACCGACGGCTTTTATGCCGTCAAACTTTCAAAGGATGGCGCACTCGTTCGGAAAATGCGAGGTACGGGTTGCCATAACTCAGCGTTCTGTTCTACACCCACACCGCTCCCACCACCGCCCCTCCCCATCTTTTCCCCGATTGGCAACTGCAGTATTTTGAGAAAAACTGAAAAAGTTGTAGAAAGGTGGGAGAACTTTGTAACATGTAAGGGGATCGTACTAGATGGTAGGTCGTAAATTAATCTCATTCGCGCAGTGCAGCTTGCGTTACCTTCAGTCATAATCTGTCTACTGAAGAGCAATCCTGTACAATTCTCATAGCAAAAAACGCTGAAATTCGGTCATCCAAACTGCAATCCGAGAAGTTCTCCGACACATTACAGGTAAATGGTTGACGCAGTCCGGACTGACTTTGCTTCTACCACATGGTATCGATGGAGCTGGTCCCGAACACAGCACATGCCGAATGGAGAGGTGAGTAACTGTGAATCCCTCTCCTGTAAGCATCGCGATTGCTTTCTAGATTCTTACAACTATGTGATTCTCGAGAAGATCAAGTACCGGTTGATGGAGAGAATGTGAATATGCGAATAGCAAATCCGACTACGTCAGCGCAGTATTTCCATCTTCTCCGAAGACAGGTGAGGAAGAGCGTTTGTACCTTAATAGAACTTTGGAATAGCTTACTGAGAATGAACTGAACTGGAGACTACGATTTCTGCGAAGGCAAAAGCTGTAACCTGCTCAGTAATTGACGTTTCTGCGGTATTGAGTTCTAGAAAAGATTGGACGATTGGTTGCTTCTGACGATGGAGCTAAACCGCTCCACAGCTTCTCTTTTACATGAGGTTTGTGGGAAGAGAATCGTACTTCGCCGCGCCAGCGAGCGTCACGCACGACCTCACGCCCGCTAATGACGACGACTACGATTCTCTTGCCCGTCTCCCCTTTTACATATACGTTAGCTTCAGCATTGGGTTCTGCTCAATAAATAGAAGAAAAGTCGCAGTGTGTGGAGATGTTACAGATTCCTTTCACACCTTATATAATCTCACCAATGCTGGCTAAATTCCCTATATGCTCGCTTACTAGGTTTCGCTCCTGTTGTGAAAAGATAACAACACTGATTTGTCCGTCGAACCATCCCTCTTTATCGCTCTTTATTGGAATTTATGTCAAACTCGCGCTAGAAGACTTCTACTAAGCTGTATGGAAAGTCAGATGCATGGCGTATTTTACAGGGAGGGAAGGGGAGGTGAGCTCAGGGAGGTTATTGAGCGCTTTTTTGGAGCAGAATGTTGTATATCAAAGGGGAAAATAAAAGGACCACAGATTTGAGGTTGGTTTTTCCTGCGCGCTCTCAAGGTTGCCAAGAGGACTAGTAACAGTTAAATGTTTCGAATGCGGCATGGTGATGAAGGCAGTCCATCTTGAATTTCGTGCATTGCATTCTTATATGTCTGGACCTTTTACCCGAACAAAAATATGACCAAAACAGGGCGAAATCATATCTGGAACCAAGCACGGTCGCGCGTAGGAGTGTCACTAACACCGAACGTTCTCAATCAGTCTTCACATACTCGAAACTTTCTCGAAGGTTGGTTCTCCCTCCAGGTACTAGGAAGGTGGCCTAGTGGGCATTTATTCAGCGGTCACCACTAAATTATGTGTTACGAGTGTGCATAAGGCAGCTAAACAAATGCAACATTATGTCGGCTTTTGTTTGGAAAGCAACCTATTGTTTGTGCTGATGTGATTACCTGTGTCCTGACAGCCTACGGAGAGACTATCTAGAGGATGTAGTGGAAACAGGCAGAGAAGCACTGTTCTCGACCCTGCTATGAGAAAAGGTGTGTCTGATAGTGAGGTAGGAAACAGGCACCATAAATACTGTCAGTCTATTGAACCCCTTCCATGGAACCGTGATGTTAAGCATCCCAGATCTGCGATCAGGTCCCATACTGCCGA